TATGACCCAACATTTTCAAGTAAAAGTTTTTCCCAGCATAAAAGTTACTATCTCCTAGAAGGCCAATTTTTTTTTAAAGGACATTTAGGCTTCTGATAGTTACTGCAACGTTCAACTTTATATTTAAAATTAGGTTTATAAACAAATCCAAACTTCAAAAACAAGAACTGTAGCAGAGTAAAGTGGAAGAATGCCATAAACATCAAAATAATCAGAGGGGAATAAGAAATTTGCACTGTACCACTGGTATTGTACATCTTTCTTGTACTTGTTCCAAACAAGTTGTTGAATTTCATTCTCCGGGATAACTTCAACAGCAGTAAGTACGTCACCTTCTACTGCCTTTCCAGTAAGTGCAAGCATCTCCACTTTCAGGGGCTCTGTATGGCAATGCAAAATCATCAAGTTAAACAATGTTCTCGATTTGGAATTAGATCAACTGCTTATTGCAAAATTTTCATTATTTAATTAATGAACAATATGCAAATTACAAATGTCATAGTATGAGAACTTTTCAGTTCCAAACCTCAAAAAATGAAGTTCCAGAGTCTGAAAAACTCTCTAGATAAATGAAGCTCAGCATATTTGGTAAGACCATTATCAGATAAGAAAAGAAGGCACATCCAACAGCTTGAGTAAAAAGTTTCATTGCTTTGTACAAAATAGTGGCAACACTGCAGCAGTTAAGACTTGCAGTTCTGTTCATCTGGTAGGATCATTTACCAGGTAGAATAATGCTGGTAGCCTCTGACAATCGGAGTTCTCCCACAACTGAATCTGATCGAACCGGTGTGTACCTGGAGTTTTTTGAAGATTGCAGGAATAAGTGCCTGAGTCCATAAACATTAGAGTGCCAAATTGAACTGCTAAAAGCATAAGAAACCAGAATCATAAATCAAGCATCTCCTTATAGGATATAATCAATGGTAAAATTCAAGTGCAAGGAGACATCGAGTGCAGCAAATGATATAAAAAGGGAAATGTTAATGAAAATGCATTTCCATCTCAAGAAATGATTATTTGTATGATCATGCGAGAATAGCTAAAGTGCATGAAATACATAATGAAACTTAAAAAGTTGTTAGAATATCATTTTCTAGATATTTAGTTTCTTTTTCAACAGAATTGATCCCTTTGATTTTTGTATCAAAGGCCTCAACATAAATACACCTATTCTCAAGTCTAACTGGACCAAGTGATTTAGATTCCTTTCCAACTTCAACTTTGGTTCTCCCTCTTCCTTTGGTCATTCTTTACTGCTATTTCATCAACTCTTAAGCTTTAGCATCGTCATCTAAGACATTGAAATTCTTAAATCTTATCTAGTCTTAAAAGTGATCTTGTTAATCCTTCAATTTCTACGGTTTATATTCTTTAATTGTGAGTATTGTTTGAAAGGTAAAAACACTAGGTTTTCCTTTCTTGAGCCTTTTGTTCATGTTAATTAATTATCTTTTTTTAAAAATAAAAAAGTAAACTGTATATTAACAAAGTACCAACAAAACGGGAGTACTGCCTATTTACAAAAGATTTATAATAAAATTAGTGTCTCAACAACATTCCTAAAATTCACATAATTAATAATATCATAACCCAACAATATAAACCCAAAATAATTCAGCCATCTATCTTTTAGTCTAGAAAAACTATTTTCCTCACAATCAATAGCTCTATTATTCTTTTTTTTTTTCTAAATAACCCAAAAAACTGTTAAAGGGATCACATTAGCTAAATTATTTTTTACATTTAAATCATCCCAAGCCCAAATCTCTTGCCCCACCGACCCAGCAATAACCCAATTAATGCCCAAGATACCGTACACAAAAGTCCACAAACTATAGGCAGTAGGACACCATAATAGAAGGTGATTGCACGTTTCCTCCACCTTCATACAGCAGTAGCAAGCATTCAAAAGGATGCACCCCTTACTTTTCAGCGATCAATAGTTAATATCTTTTCCAAACAAGCCTCCCAAGCAAAAAAAGCAACACAAGGGGGAACCTTAGTTTTCCAGATTTGTTTGGCCGGAAAAAAGCATCTACTAACTTCACTCTTCATACACAAAAAATTGTATAAAGAAGAAACAGAGAAGGACCCATTTTTTCCCAAAGTCCACAGTGGCAGATCATCACCGGTTGAAACATTCAAGGTGGCAAGCAGCTGTAACAGACTCTCATATTCCCCCAACTCCCAATCATTCAAATTCTTATCAAGATTTATGGACCAAACCACCATCCCATTAGAGACCTGGTAAGCCTCCTCAACTAGCAAGTTCTTGTTCTGAGTGACGCAGAAAATATATGGAAATCTTCCCTTTAGACTGCCATCTCCCAACCAATTGTCGTCCCAAAAATTAATAATGTTTCCATGTCCACGCTTCCATTTTATACATTGAAGAAAACACGATCCATGCATGAGAATCCTCCTCCACAGCCCTCTCCCATGAGAAATGGAGATATGGTACACCCATTAACATTCATAAACTTACCCAATCGAGAATCAATGACCCTAAGCCATAAGCTTTTATCTTCCCTCAAATACCTCCATAACAATTTACCTTGGAGCGCCTCATTCATTTTTACCAAAGATCTAATACCACGTCCCCCATATGAATCGGATCTTTTAAAGCTTCCCAATTCACTAGATGGAATTTGCGATTATCATCCACATCACCCCATAAGAATGTACATTGGGTTGCTTCTAATTTTTTAGCCACCTTCACCGGAATAGTTAAAGTTGATAGGTAATAGAGTAGAAGATTTGCAAGAGTGCTTTTGATAAGGGTATATCTACACCCTTTTAAAAGAAATTTCCTTTTCCACCCCGATAATTTTTTCTCAAATAATTCAATAATCGGTTCTCAAGTAATTTGATCCTCGTATTTAGCCCCCAATGAAATACCAAGATACTTGAAAGGAAATTTGACCTCCTTACACTCCAAAATTTTAGCATAGGAACCAGCTTCACCATTGCCACCAATTCTGGGCAATTCTGATTTCTTGAGATTAATTTTAAGACCCAATACAGCTTGGAACCAATAAAAAACACATCTTAAATGTAAGAAATTCCTCAAACTAGGTTGACAAAAGATGAGGGTGTCATCCGCGAAAAATTAGTGAGATACCTCCATAATGTTGTCCCTTTTTCCAACCCGGACTTCCCCTCAACATATTCAGCTCTTTAGCCCTACCAAGTAGCCCATTTAATCATTCCATCACCATGATAAACAGTAAAGGGGAGAGAGGATCCCTTTGCCTAAGCCCTCTTGAAGCATTAAAGAAATTTTAGGGGCCCTCATTGACCAAAACAGCAAAGAAGGAAGAAATAATACAAGATTTTACCCACATCCTCTATTTCACCCCAAAGCCCATCCCGAACAGCATGTAATCAACTAATTTCCAATTGACATGATCATATTCTTTCTCCATGTCAAGTTTACACACTAAACCATCCCGATTTATAGTCATGAGATCGCCTACCGTTTTATTAGCAGTCATCACAGCGTCAAGGATCTGTCTGCTGCCCACAAAAGCATGTTGACAATCCCCTATAACTTCACCCAATATCTTGGATAATCTCCTAGCCAACACTTTGGCAGTTAATTTATACATACAGCACACCAAATTAATTGGCCTGAAGTCTTTGAATTCATGGGCACCACTTTTTATAGGAATAAGATAAATGTGGAGTTTAAAGATTTTACAAATTTACCAGAAGAGTGCATCTCATTAAATATCTCCATAATATCCACTTTCAAAAGCAACCAGAACAATTTAAAGAAATTCATATTAAACCTGTCGAGACATGGAGCTTTATTCCCGTCACAAGATTTCAAACTTTGACACAACTCCTCAAAGGAAAATTTGGCTTCCAGCAGTCCGCAACTCTCCCCCGAAATTCTGTTAAAAAACAGGCCATCCAAACCAGGTCTAGATACACAATCTTCCTCAAAAAACTGACTGAAATGCTTCCTGGCAGCCTCTCTCAACTCAACATTCCCACAAATTTTACTTTTGTTAACCCAAATTTCATCAATGTAGTTGCATCATCTTCTATGGGAAGCAAGAGCATGAAAATATTTAATATTTCGGTCCCATCCTCTAACCATTTCTCTCTAGATTTTTGCCTCCACAATAATTCCTCATCCTTTAGATAAGACTCCAACTGTAATTCTAGACTTCTTCTCCTGCCCCTTTCTTCCTCGTTCTGGCCAATAGCATCCTCTTTGGAATCTAGCTCAGAGATTTGAGCCAACACCAAGTCAAATATTAATTTACTTTGCTCCCTTTCCGTCTTTGCCCAGATTTTCATAATATTTTTCACTGCCCTGAGCTTATGAACAAACCTGTAGCTGGCACAACCCTTGACCTCACAAATTTTCCACCAGAACACGAAACTCCCTTTTTTCAACCACTTATTATCTAGCCGAAAAGGGACCAGACCCTACTGGATACCATCAGCCTTCAATACAAATGGGATAGTGATATGAAGTTGGCCTAAGCAAGGTTTTTTGACTAACCCCCATCAGGTCTAACATAAAACAAGAGGAAATAAAGAATCTATCAATTCTTGACTTACTCTTTTGGTCTGACCAGGTCCATTTGCCGTTGTTTAGAGGAAGATCAACCATTTCAAGCTTCTCCATCACCTCTTTAAATTCATTAGCATCCGCAGCCGAAAAGTTGCTACCACTTTTATCTTCCCTTCTCAAGGTCATGTTAAAGTCACCTCCTATAATCCACTTCCCTGCCCAATTGTTTTTGCAAGCCTCAAAATCATTCCACAGCAGATTCCTTTCCTCTCTATTCCTCCTACAATATACATCCGTGAACATCCACTCAATGCCCCCTCTTCTATTTTTAAATATACACGACAAGGAACATTTCCCTTTTATAATCTTTAGACAGCTAACCTGCCCCTCATTCCACAAGATGATCAAACCACTAGCTGACCCCTTTGCATGTAGAGTCATCCACCCCTTCTCCTTTATACGCCATAAGCTGTCGATTAACCATTCCGTACAGTCATCCACTTTAGTTTCTTGAAAACAGACAACAGAAGGGCTCCATTTTTTTAAGCACCCACTAATGATCAGTCGTTTACCCCGACATTGACCCCCCGAACATTTCATGATATTATTCTTCCGATCATTCACAAATCAGCTGAACCCCTTCACCTACCTTTCCACCTCCTCTCCTCACATTATAGTTTATCGATGACTGTAATCTTTTTAGTTCCTTTGAGGTCCCTCCTCCCAATTTTTTCTTTTCTTTCTAGTTGGGTCCTGTTTTCTTCTTCAACATTTTCTTCATTTCAATTTCAGAGAAAGAAAGATAAGATAAGTTCTCCATATGCAAGAGCCACCCCATCATCTTTCTGAATTTCTGAATGTTGTTGACAACCCACTGTGAGCACTAATCCACATCAGTTTCAGAGATAGTGACACCTTCCAGACTTAACTCAATAATCTCCTCTAATTCCGAATCGTGAACAGTTGCAATCGCTAGGGCTTCTACTTCCACCAAAACCATTTTGAGATTCTTCGCGTCAGTCTCTTCCGCCTGGAGTTCGTTCATCAGCCTCCCGTCACCCTCGAAATCTTCCATAGTGGAGAAGACAAAACATAAATCATCTTCATCCCTTTTGCTGGTGGCTAAATGAAAATCACCGACTCCGTTGCTCGTACCATTTGCCATGTGGCCTCTTCGACAAACCCTAACTTCTCCATTTTTGTTTCCCTTTTTGCTCGACACTCCCTCTCCTCATTAAAAGCCTCAGGTGAATTGGGATCTCTTGTACCCAAATGCTTGCCCCGTGTCAAAATTCTTACATTTAGCGGGCTCAGGTTAAGGTTTGGGCCCTCGATAATGTCAGGTCTCGCGATTCACTTCTCGTTTTCTTTCCACGTAAATCTCCTTTTCTCATATGGCCCGTTCAGTTTTAGTTGCATCCGCCCCACAACATTAGAAGTTCCAAAGCCCTACGACCCGAAACGATGAGAAGCCTTCGCGTTTTGAATATCACTATTGGTTAATACAATACACTTGAAAATCACTTCACCTAAATGACAATTTATCATCAAATGCCATGCAAGACAATTTGTGAAACCATGTTCTCTTCACCATACCAACAACATATCATTCATGAAAATCTCATGGGTGTTATTCTTTAGCTTTTTTTTTTCCTTGTCGGTGGTAAAAAAGTTCTACCCCAATGATTAATAAACTTTATTTAAAAGAGAAAAAAAAGAAAACAAAGGGCATAATCAAGCAATACTAAGAAAATAAAATATGTAACATGCAAACTAGTCTGCCATATTCCCACAGCAACCTTTGGGTATCAATACTTCTTCCCATCCAACAGCATGCAGCACAAGAGATAAAAGAACAAGACTGTTACCCAAATAACAAACGGCAATTGTAATCTGCATCTGCGACTTCATAGGTTCTAGAAGTAGCTCCATTAACGAGAACAATAGTTCCATCATTAGTTTCCCTATACCAGCTGAAGATACTTGATCCCTCGTAACCTCCAAAATATTGCCCTCCTCCAAAATATTTACCCGCAGACAGCTCCTTCACATGAACATGAGAAACTACTGGAAGAGCTGCCATAATATTTCAACTTCATTCCATTAAAAACAGATAACTCATATGTGCTAAAAAGTTGAAAACTGATTATATCACCAGGCTCAAGTAACCAAACAGTTGAGGAAACAGATGGTTGTACCCCCTATATGCGTTGGTAATATTACAATTTTATTCTGAAAAAAGATTATGGATTGTGTAGGTACCTGGATGAACTGGAGAAACAGAAATTGCAACTAATGCCCTTCCACATCTACCATCAGCACGTTTGGGCAGCCAGTGTAAGGCTAAATAGGATCCGACGTCTTCAAGTGAAGGAGTATATGTTCTGCCAGAGTAACATCACTCAAGAATGTTTATACATAAATGATGAATTATGAGAATTAAGAATTGTTCATATTATATGAGGACTTACAATGTTCTACCACATATAAAAACATTTTCAGCACCAGCAGATATATCCATCAATGCAGCTCCACCTAAATTATTCTTGGTTCTGTACCAAATATATTCTCCAACACCCTCCTGCCCCCCAAAATATGTTTTCTGAGGAACAACCTCCTGACTCTCCCAGCAATCAGGAATGAGAAGTTCCAGTCCCATAGGATCCGCTGTTGCAAGAGCATAAGAACATGGAAAAGCTGAATGATTACTTAACATGGATACGGTTAGAAATAGTTTATGTGTAATCTATTATTCAAGGTTATAAGACTAAAATACCTGTGTGTAATTAATTTTAGGTCCCCTTTTATATCTTGAGAATTATGTATGTATAGGACCTTTCTCAAAATTATATTGTTGAAAATTGAATGATTATTGTTTTTTTAAATATAGAAAATCGAATGATTATAGATGTACTACTATGTCAGAAGTATTTATTTCCTAATTTAGTAAATTTGGTATCAAGGTTGACCAAAACTTTTTTATTTGGCCTGCATTTATTCTACAAAATCTTCTCATTAATTAGAAAGATTCTGACTATATCTCTTTGATTTGGTCTGTCATTTATTCTAGAGAAGTCTCGCGCTATTTAGAAAGATTCTTTTGTGTAAATATGCTAACCAACTTTTTATTATGAATACAATCCTTGTTTCATTATCAAAGACAATGAAACAAACAGAATTTTCACTCTTTATGGTATCAAAGCAATTTTGAAAAACTAGAAACTATTCCCGTGTTTAATGACACCAATCATCTTTACTATTTCATTCCCATCTGTTACCATCTTGAATAGAGAATTTAAGTCGAGTACCTTTACCAATACTGGACACAAATTAAATGGCAATAACTATCTTCATGGGCAAATTCTGTTATGATGTTCATTTGTAGTCAAGGAGAAGATGACTATATCACAAATATATTCATTAAATCAAAATCAGATGATCCGTTCTACAAGACATGGAAACTGGAAATAGTTTAGACATGTCATGGTTTACAAATTCCGTGATCGAATGATGTTGGAGAGAATTTTATTTTGTATGAAACAACACAAGAAATCTGGGATCCACACAAGAGACATACTCAATAATTCAGACCTTCGTCATGGATGCATTGAAGGTATCCTCGATGACCTTCGTCAAGAGCAATTCTTGCTACCCAATAATTCAGACTTCTATACAAGTACTGGCAGCAACTAGATGTGTATGAAACTACTTAATGGGAATGTCCAATGTATGGAGCAAGTAAAAAAAGACCGTTAAGAAGATTCAATATGGTAGTGAAAGGATATAGATATTCAAATAGCCAAACTGACTACACTATGTTCTATAAACATTCGAGATTTAGTAAGTGTGTCGTGCTTATTGTTTATGCTGATGAGATAATACCTGCAAGAGATGATTTAAAAGAAATTAAAACACTAAACAAGAAGCTAGTTAGGGACTTTGAGATTAAAGATTTAGAAAATTTGAAGTACTTTCTTGGTATAGAGCTTGCCAAATCCATGGAAGGAGTCATCCCAAATCAAGTCAAGTATGTTTTTAACCTACTTAGTGAAATTGATACTCTTGGATGCAAGGCAGCCGAGACTTCAATTGAATTCAATATCAAAGGATACGGTGCACTAATCTATCACATACTCGCCAGCCATACATTTGCAGTATATGTGGTAAGTCAATTTATTCACCCTCCAAACCAAGAGCTTAAAATCCTTATATACCTGAAGGGAATTTCTGGTAAAAGATTACTATTTAGGAATAACAATGACCCTACAGATAGAGACTTTCATGGATGCATATTAGGCTAGAAGTGACTCAGATAGAAGATCCATATTAAGATACTGTAGATTTTTGCGAGGAAACTAGGTGACATAGAGGAATGGAAAAACAGAATGTGATGGCTAGAAATAGTCCCAATGCTGATCTGTTATTCATGGAATTTGTGAAGTTTTATGGTCAAAGAGACTTCTTAAAGAAGTAAAGATATCTCTACCACTATCTATTAAGATGTATTTGGACAACAAATTGCAACTGCTATTGCACACAATAATGCTCTCCATGACAAAATAAAACATGTGGAGATTGACAAGTATTTCATCAAACAGAAAATTGATAACGGAATCATTTGTATATGTTGACACAAATATTTTGTTACCTAAATGACTGTGATATTTTTTCATATATAGTCCTGCCATTAATTTCTCCCACAATATTTAATTATTTAAAATCTCTATTATAAGAAAAAAAAATTTATTTTTATTTAGGAATTCTTGTAAATATTTAGGTCGTCTATAACACCAAAAGATAGTGAAAAAAGTACATATTTTTTCTCAAATTTCTACATGGTATCATAATAAAATAAGAGTATTTCAGGGTTTTAATTTTAGGGTTTCTTTCAAACCCTAAAATATTCTCAACACCCATCCAAACGAAGTCATAGCCTCACTGCCGACATGCAACCCTAATGCAGTGACCGTCTCCGCCTACCCGATCCCTTTGCTCCGATTGCGCTCAACTGTTCACCCGACCTCTGCTTCTCCTTCGCGCACAACCTTTTATTCACATTGTCTCCATGCGCATGCCCGGCCACGAATCACATATTTGGTCACGCCCGACCCATCTGCTATGTTTTGTGCACGGCCATTCACACAGTTTACCCATTCGTGCATCGTACCTCTTCTTTGCATTGTCCCTTCGCGCATCGCATATTTCGTTTTGCCCAACCCATCTACTCTGATTCGCGCATGGCCATTTGCGTGAGGGCACTGTTTCGCAAATATGTTTTTCAAGCGGCCGTGCGAGGTTGTGTTGTTTTCACATCAGGTTTCTACTGCATTTCACGCAAGCTGCACACACTCCTCTTTCTTCTTTGCTTTCACCACCATTCGCAGTGTTGCTCCCCATCAGCTCCGGATTTTGTGGTGTCTTCCTCTTAAATCTAGCCTCGGCCCTTGTTTTTGCTATTCTTCTCCAGTCTCGCAACAATTTTTTGACCTTTGTGGTGTTTAGAAGGTTTGTTCTATCCTTGTGAGGTTCATTACTGGTTTTTATTTTCTCTTTGTAATACTCAAACATGACAAAAGTAAAGAAACTGATTGTTTTTAATTCTGATAACTCATCATTGAGAATAAGTCTCATAAAGCTTGATGAAACTCATTATTTTACTTAATCAATATCTTATTCACTATTTATCAAAATTAGAAGATTGCAAGGTTATATTACTGGTAATGAGAAGAAATCATATGTCAGTAGTCTGGAATATCACTTATGAGACTCTAAAAACTCCTTGGTAATATCTTGATTCATTAATTCCATGCAACCACACATTGTCCGAACATATTTGTTACCCATACTGCAGCAAAAATATGAAATGCAATGTCTCTTACATATTAACAAGTGGATAATGTTGCTCAAATTTATAAATTACTGAATAAGATTCACAGTAAAGTAAGAAAAGTTTATTATCTCTCAGTATTTTTTTAAACTTAGAGGACTATCACAGAACCTCGATTACTATCAAGATTTTCAGGCAGATTGCCCAGCAGATGCATTCAAATTTCAAAAAATGAGCATATTTATGATTTCTTAATTGGTTTGAATGGTGAATATGATCAGTTACAAGTCCACGTACTTAATATGGATCTCCTTCCCTCATTAAAACAACCTTATTCTTATGTTTAACAAAAAGAAAGTAGAAGAATTGTCATACTCCACATAGCACCAATTGAGAAAGCTGAATTAATTACTCAGTTTAATCACTCCAAAGAGCAACGAAATTGTAACTATTGTGGTAAGCCGAGAAACACTAAAGAAACTTACTAGAAATTGCATAGGCGACCCACTAGAGGTTGTGAGGGAAGGAAATGTAGACCTATGAGAGCTCAAGCAAACTTGGTCGAGACAAGTGAAGCATCTGACACACCTACTGTTGGAACTTTTTGAATTGAATAAATTCAAATTCTGAAACGTATTCTATCTCAACTTATCTCTTCAACAAATATTAGTGCATCAAATATGGTAAAATTAGGCATTCTTTCTCTCCCACTTATTTCCACTCCTGATATTTGGATTATAAATTCTTGAACTAACAGACATCTTACAGATTCTTCCACTAAATTCCTAACATATTTTTCTTATACTAAGGGAAAAAATGTTCGTATAGCAGATGGGTCATACGCTCCTGTGTCTGGATCAGGTTCCCTTAATTTTACCTCGAGTATTACACTCATTTCTTTTCTATAAGTACCTAGTTTTCCTAATAAAATGTTTTCTATCAGTACCGTTACTGGAGATCTAAACTGTAAAATTGACTTTTTTTTTTATTGTTGTATTTTTTAGGATATTCGAACAAGGAAGAGAATTGTTACTGCTAGATTACAGGATGGCTTATATGTATTGGAAAAAAGTCAGAACCTAATTGAGAATCAAGCCACCATTGAGAACAAGGAAGTCAATCGGGACATAGTACAATGTCACTGGCGGTTGTAGCACCCTTTCCTTTTTATTTTAGAAAAATTATATTATAATTTGTTTAAGAGAACTTTCATGAATTCTTTATTTTGTGATACATATGAACTTGCTAAACATAAAATAAGTACTTATCACATGAATAATAATAGAAGCTATAGTCTTTTTATAACTACTTACTCTGATGTGTGGGAACCTAATCAAAATATATTTTTGATCTGATCATCGATGGTTTGTCACTTTTATTGATTATTGTACTCGATTAATATGGATTTGCCTGTTAAAAACAAAAAAATGATGTGTTTTCATGCTTCCAATTATTTCATAAGATAATGTATATACAGTTTGATGCTAAAGTAAAGTTTCTGAGAAATGACAATAGTACAAAATATATGGATAGTAGATTTCATACTTAATTGGAGTCAAATGAGATAGTTCACCAGACAAGTTGTGTCTACACTAGTGAACAGAATGGGATTACAGAAAGAAAAAACAAATACATACTGAAGGTCACTCATTCACTAATGTTTACCATGAATCTACTTAAAAGTTATTGGGGAATGCAATTCTCTTAGCTACCTACCTTATTAACAAAATATCTTTGCAGGTTCTTAACTCTAGAAGTCCCATGGAGGTTTTGCAAGGTATAAATTCCTATATTGTTCATCCGAAAGTGTTTGAATATTTTTGCTTTATTAATACTAAAAATGTGAGTAAACTGGAATCTAGAGCTCTCTGGTGTATATTTGTTGGATATTCTCTTACTCAAAAAGGGTACAAGCGTTATCATCCACTGACTAGAAAATACTTTGTGACTATAGATGTTACTTTTAGAGAATTTGAACCATACTTCAGTTACACTCCAACACCTCTTCAGGGAGAGAGTGAAATGGAAGAGGTGATGTCCAATTCGGTAACCCTTAAGAGTTATATTCAGGGAGAGAATTCTGTGTCAGAAGATCTTATTTAAGCAGAAAATGATAGGCGACTGGATAAACTGAACTTGAAAAAGTATTCAAGAAGAGATAAACAGAGAAAGTCATCATGTAGTCTATCTCAGGTCAAAAATCTTATCCAGTTCCTAAAAATACTTGTGAGTCATTTTTATCTTTTGAATTAACAGAAAAATTTAGTACTCTTAAAAAAAGAATGAGAACTTGTACTAAGTATGTTGCATCTAATTTTGTTTCAAATGACTTTCTATCTCCCTTTTGCAGTGTCTTTATCTTATATGTTTACTATGTGTCTATTTCATAGAAATGGAGAGAGCATCTAGAAGATACCAAATAGAATGAAGCGATTATTGAAGAAATAAGAGCATTGGTAAAAAATGAGACATAGAAAGAAGATGATTGGTTGCAAGTGGGTGTTTACTGTAAAACACAAAATAGATGGGTCGATTGAAAGATACAAAATTAAACTAGAGGCTAAAGAGTTTAATCAGACTTATGAAGTTGACTGTCAAGAAACCTTTGCACCTGTTGCTAAAATGAACACATCATAATAGTACTATCCTGTACTGCTAAACTTTATTGGGACTTCACCAGTTTGATGTAAAAAATTCATTCCCTCATGAGAACTTAGAAGATGATGTATACATGAAATTTCTATATGAATTTAAAGTTGAAAGAACACAACGGAAGGTTTGCAAATTAAAGAAGACCTTATATGGATTAAAACAGTTCCCAAGAGCATGGTTTAAAAGGTTCATAAGAGTTATAATTTCTTTCAGATATCAACAAAACAATGTTGATCATACCATATTCATCAAGCATTGTGAGGGTATAATCACTCTTCTCATTTTTTATGGATATGATATTGTGGTAAGTATAGTTGATATAAACGAGATGACTCGATTAAAGGGACTTCTTACTAGAGAATTTGAAATCAAGAATCTAGAAAAATTGCAGTACTTGCTGAAAATTGAGATTGTCATGTCTAATAAAGAAATATTCATTTCTTAACGAAAATATATCCTAAACTTGCTACAAGAGACTGGTGTGATAAGTTGCAAATCAGCCGAATCCCCTGTTAAAAGTAATTGCAAATTACAAGCAGAAAATTGTACATCCGTTGACATGGGAAAATATCAGAGATTAATTAGAAAACTCATGTATCTCTCACATACCAGACCAGACATAACATATGCAGTTAGTCTGGTGAGTCAGTACATGCATGATCCTCGCGAGACTCGTTTACATGTCGTCTGTCAAATACTACGATATTTGAAATCTGCACCAGAAAAAGATTTACTCTTCCCCAAAAATGGTCACCTTAAGATAGAAGTATTTACAGATGTCGACCGAGCTGGATCTTCGGATGATAGAAACTCAACTACTGGTACTGTACACTCGTTTAAGGCAACTTAATTACATAAAAAAGCAAGAAATTGAGTACAATTGTCCGTTCTAGTACTGAAGCAGAATATCAAGCAATACCACAAGAAAAAATCCTATCACTGTTTTGTGACAATAAAGCAGTCATCAGTATTGCTCAAAATCTAGTTCAACGTGACCAGATGAAATACATTGAAATTGATTGTCACTTCATAAAAGAAAAAGTAATTCATGACTCCTTACACTTGTATCATGTGTTTTCTAACAATCAGGTGTCAGATATCTTTACTAAAAGACTCTACAATAAAACTCTTCAGATCTTGATATGCAAGTTAGACGTGTGTGATATTTTTGCACTACCTTGAGGGGGAGTGTTGACACGAATATTTTGTTGACTAAATGATCGTGATATTTTTTCCTATATACCCCTGTCGTTAATTTATCCCATAATATATATATTTTTTCCCAAATTTGTATAGTATGTCTTATATTTTCCATCAATCAATCAAGTCGTAGATATTCTGACAAAATAAAATTGTCTAGTTTAACACAACCAACAGTTTCACACTAGGAAGACATTTTTATGCCAACTTGAGGGACTGTCTTGAGAAATTAGTAATTAGTGTTCATAGTCTTTATATTTATTTTTCAATTCAGTATCTAAGAGTATCTTTGTAATTAACAGGGAACATTGACTAGGAAGAATTATAGGATCATTGGTATAATTGCTTGTCTTTTTTACAGCATCTCCTCATGCCATAGATAGGGGATCTTGTAATGTATGAATATAGATTCAGAGAAAATTAAAACCATAATGCTTCTTTCTCTGTTTTCCTTTCAATCTAAAATTTGCACCCATTATTTTCTGCCCACAGTGCAGACATTGCTTAATGGATGAAAACTACCAGTGAAAATTTGTGAAAAGGGAATGAAAAACAATATATTATGCATATAGATTCTATCTTTCATATCCATAAACGACTAACCTGGAGTAATTACATCAGATACAATGCTCATAGGATGCCCTTTCATTCCATCTTTGCGCACAGGAGTATAAATGACTTCAATGTTTCTTCCCACATCCTCCAAAGTTAAGTCCAGAAACTCTGTCAGACCAACACATCAACATTTAATCTAAAACTTCCACATGGATAAGAAAAAATAATTTCCTATTTTTGAAACGAAAGGACATTTTTATAACATTCAATGAACCCACCATCAATACTCAGTTTTTCTTTGACAGCATTACTTTTAAGTCTAAACCATTCATGGATGCAATCTCCCCTCTCCCTGAATCAAAAGAAATTTATCAATCCAAGGTAAACTTAGTAAAAGAAGGGCAGAGCTGCCATCCAACACTCAAGTTTATACAGATTCACCAAACTCTCACCCTCCACTATATGAAGCAAGAAAACTCAATCGTTGTCCTTCCATCATTGATCCAAGAAACTCCAAAGACCGACAGGTTGGAGGACCTGCATTGCATAATCAATTATAAAATGACATAGTTCACACAATTCCTGGTTCTGGAGGGATAACATGAAATTTCCAGAACAATATCTCTTCAACCACAGGTCTGAAATTAAGGTCAATTGACTGAAAGGACCAATAAATGATGAACTTAGGAAAAAGGTAATAAAAAATTAAAGTACATACCAGGAACAATTGGTCCAATTTGTTCTGAGAGAACAATAGGGCCACGAGCCCAGTCACTCCTGACAGGCTCACATGAAATAGAAAGAAAGAAGCCAATGTCATCAACCGAGAGAACATATGATGAGAGTGTGGCACCCCTAACTTCAGTTTGTGTTCCATCTAAACTAGTCTGCAAACAAGATATCCCCATTAAACAAAAAAAATAGGTTAGTATCAAAAGAAATGAATAAAAAAAATTCCATTTAAAAACTGTAGTCATAAAGAGCTCTATGATACCAGTTGTTTCAATCATGCATCACAAGATGAGTGCAGAATAAATTTAGTAAAAGATTAATACCCGGAACCACTGAAAAACTGAATCTCCTTCTTCACCACCCCAATACTTTTTTTCTACGTTTAGTTCTGTTCCTTCAACAGGACTTCCAACTATTTGCAGAGAGATCAATCTTGGGCTTCCTAATAATTTAGCAGTATCCAACATAAGATACAAGAGATAAAATTGAAC